TAAAAATATCGAGGGTCACGGTTCGTTACGAACGATGGCGGGAAGACTCGTGTGTCGAGTGAACAGAAGTGAAACGCTCGAGGCGAACAGACGAAGAGGTACCGCATACAGGAGGACTGATTCGAGTTGTCGACGAGTCGAACGTTGTTGGGAGCACAAGTTTGAAACTCACGGGAACCGTTCGACGTTACCGGGCCGATCTAACTCTTCTTCCCCTGGCTGAGTCTCGGCGTTAACCGGATCTCCCATCGAGATCCGGCATCGTGCCTCAATGGGACGGAAAGCAAGCAGAACCGGTCGATTCGGCTAACGGGAAAGGAAGCTTTCGCCAACCACTCTGAAATCTGCTTTCCAAAAAGAACCGGAGAAATTTCAGCGAGTTCCATCGAACGGTTTCGTTAACTGTAAACTAGTTTACAGTTTACGAAATATAGCTAGTCTCTCACGGACGTGTCCACCTTTGTGTCTCGTGTGTTAACGTAACGATTGCTCGTTAATCGTGATACGGGAAGCCAAAAAATTTGCAGTTTCCCCAAAAGCTCCGCGAACGCGTGGTCCTGTCGTTTTCTTAACGCGAGAAACGTCGTTAAGTCAACGGAAGAAACGAGCGCAAAACAGTCGATGAATAATTTGGAAGTCAACCATCGGACGCAAATCCCCGTCTCCCCGAAACGTATATGTGTCTATCCTCTTCTCGAGTGGCGAAATGCAGAAGAGGGCTCTGAATGGCTTTGAAAATACTCGAGTACCGGGATGAATAAATGCATAAGCGAATTTACATTTGCTACCCTGTGCTGTGCTGTGCCGTGCCTCGCTGTCGTCTCAATGGTGCGCGTGCAGTTCTAGGTGTTCGAGGTGCTCGAGCTTTTGGTGAAGAAACACTACCGCGCACGCGATTCTTTACAACGAACGACTAGTTTCAGTTTTTCTATCCTACGACTGACGCGAAAATGTTTCTTCCATCGATTCGGCATCAGACGGTTCATCGGCGTTTCCACTTTATCGTTCGTTCGTTCGTTTATCCTTTTTCTCCTAGTTACGTATCGATGCCACCTAGATATCACTTTCGCTTTGGAGACGATGCTACAGGTGCGTCGATCCCCTGCATTACCCAAAGAACAGTTTTCTTTACATCCTATTTATCATCGTCGATGAACCTTTCGTCGCTTGCCTCGCGAAAAAGATATTCTCCTGTGAATTTTGTCCGACCTTAAATCTCTTCTTCCACTACGAGGTACGTACGCTTCGCTGTTGGACGAGTGTTGCGAGAGACAAACGCGGCGGCGCAATTGCACTCGAGTCTCGAATCTTAATCTTTCGAGAAAAAAACTGGTTGGCACGGGGTCAACGATTTTGCTCAGGATCGAGCTCTAATACGAAACCGCTGTAGAAAAAGCGAGCAACCAGCCCCTGGTCTCCTCCAGGTTGAGCGCCATTAACTCCACCAACGAAACCTTCCTAAAGATACACGCACGTACACACGCACGTCGGCAAATTGCTCAACCACGCGATTCTCTATAATTCGTCTCGACATTCGATCCGCTTTGCATTCAGTTGGCCGTTGAAAAGTTGTTGATTCGAATTAAAAGAGCGTAGTTGAAGCGAAAACGCTTGACAACGGTCGCGAACGAGTTCGGTTCCGCTACGAAATTATCACTAGGTATACGTATGCACTTCGGCACGACGTTTAACCTCGCGCCGCGGCCCTAGAGCCCTCGAGGGTATATATTCTCGAAAACGGGTCCAAAACGTGAAAGCTCTCGAGCCGTCGCGTCGTACCGAGCTGTGTCGCGCCGTTTCGACTTTTTAGACTCGTCTCCTTGTACACGCGTGTGTTTTGCATTTCAGGGACGACTGTTGGGAAAAGCGGACGCGTACTTTAGTTCCTTTCGGCGCTGCAACTATCCACGAATAAGGGCGCCAAATACAGCTCCCGAAATAGTTTACGAATGCGCCAGGTATTCCAGGTATGTAACCTACGATTTCGAGAATAAATGCGTACCAAATGCATCCGAGATTCCTAAAATTAAGTTGTCTAACTTTTTCGGAATTGATCGACGACCCGCTCGTAGATCTATTGTCACGGTTAGAAACGAATGTCCTTTCCTTCGTCAACGGGCAACGATCGTAACGGTTATGGATACGAGCTGCATACGAGATACATCGCAATTTTAAGGTTTTTTCGGTTGAGTTACCGCCAGGGAATACTCAACGGTACGTAACGGAGAAACGCAAACTTCGGTGGCTTGCGATTACTTACTCATTCTCTGCTGTTCCCGAACAACCGAAGGGTACAAATTTTCCGACTTTACTTAGAAAATAGCCGGTGTGTCCCGTTTTCACTCATAAGACGCTGTTCTTCGACGTAACGGGGCTAGGGAAACTTAAAGTGGCTATATTCCGAAAACAAGAAGTTTGCGAAGCCTGTGTTTATCGAGATGACTACAAATTTCGTAACGTTGTTCTCGAGGTAACTCTGCGCTACTGTTTTTGATCGTCCGTAAAGATAGGGCGTTCCGTGGTGGGGAAGTAAAGCGAGACGCGTCGGGAACGATCAACGAAAAGTTCGATACTGTATTAAAATCTGTTTCCGTGTTTCCGTTAGCGAAAGCTTCGATCGGTAAAGACGCGGGACCCGCGGAAATTCTGTGTCGTGCGGACGTGAATAAATTTCGCAGGAATGAGGGTTGCGCAAAACAGTAGGTACGGTTACTTGGAAAAAGCGACCTCGCGAGCCGCTGCCAGCAGTTAACGGACAGTTTATTAAAAAGAAAGTAGCGAGATATTGTGCAGTCGCAATTCGTAGGATCGTTCAAGTATCCTGATTTGCTTGTTTTTCTTTGTTTCCGTTCGGAACGATTTCTTCGTCGAGTCGCGATCGCACTTGATCGATCGCGAAACTCGTTACGTACAATTTAATTTCCTGGTAAATACGGTTATTCTTGTAGCGATGATAGGCACTGCCACCGTTTCACTCGGCTCCCGGGATAATTTGTCGCGTCTACCAGTCATCGTTGTATCCAATATCCCCTTGGATATCCTCTTTGGATTTGCCTTCTTCCCCTATCCAATCATTTCCTTCCCACGAATTACCACCGTTGGTGCAGTTACTTCAAAGCTGATCGAGACACGGAAGAAGATTATTCGCGTTTTGCCTAGAACTCGCATCGAGTAATTCATCTCGAGAATCGTGAAAAAACAAACGAAGTAGGTACATTTCGAACGAAACGTATCGTAGTACATATCGGGGTCTCTTTGAACGCCGTGCCGTGTGAGTTGCGAATCGAGTACGGTTGATCGACTAGCCCGAAATTCCCGTAAAAACTTTGTGTTTCGGAGCTGCACCGGGGACTTAAATTCTAAAAGAAACTACGCATGGAACGCTGGCAGTGATTGCGACCGTATATTTTCATTCGACGGCTGCTGTGTCTAGAAGTCGCAACGACGAATCGATCTCCTTCCCTTTCGTAACCGGAAGAAAGAAACAAAGAAAGAAACTTTGTCCGTCCGAAGTTTCGATTTATTCATAGGTGACGCGCGCGCTCCGGTGTAACGCGAATTCTCTGTACAGGGTTGTAAAAGAAATTGAAATTTTTCTGTGCAGAAAAGTCTACACAGTTTGTGCAAAACTTTCGATTCCATCGTATAGGCGCGGCGAGACGAGAAAGCGACACGCGAGATCGAAACAAATCGCTGTTCATGCTTGTTCGAATTTTGCATTCGGAGCTCGTTAATTAAAAGTAGTCCGGAACCATATCCGCGACGCACGCCGACGCGCTTTTTCAAGGAATGTTTACATTTCATCGGAAATGCTACACTATTCGGTGTGCTCGTTTCCGGTCGGTCGATTCACTCGAAGCGTTTCCACGTTCGGTCCGGTTTTAATGGAGTGCGCGGCAACGAACACCGTCAACGCAAAAACGATCTTTACGTATGCCGTTCGATTTGTCCGCGTGGCTCTTTGAAACGCGAGTCAAAGTGAAAAGTTTGGCCGAATTTTACGGCAACGACGAGAATCGCGGTTGTTGAAAAACGGTGAAACATCGCTGACGACTTCGAGCAGAGATTCATCCGGCAGGCGCGTCGTAGCGGGTTGTCTGGATGGATCGGTGGATCTGTGGTCCGATCGCACGCGTCGTTGTGCTGGTCTGACAAATGCTAGTCGAACGCTTCATCGAATTCTCCAAACCGCTAGAATACCTGTAACTGTAACTGTAGAAGTAGAAAATGATTAAACTCCGTTCGCGTATCGATTTTCGCTTCGGAAGCAAAGTCACCGTCTGACTCTGCGAGGGGAAAGTCGCGGGAAGAGAAATTAACCAGGGCCTAGTAATCAGCGGGGGTTGAGACAGGTAATCGAGTTTCAGTTTAATATGGAGTCACAAGTTACGATTCCCCTGCCGAGATCATTCACGCGGTTGAAATTCAATTATTTATGGAGTTTTCCGAACGTTACTGTTTTCAACGTGAACGCCTTGCGTTTGCGTGTTCGCAATGCAGACGACACATATTTGATTTTAGTTTTTGGGATATACCGAGCGTTTGGTGGCAGGCGAGCACCGTCACGATGGGAGTCGGCGTCGCGATTGCGGTGATCGGCGCGCTCACGTTGCTGGCCGCTGCCTCCAGTTTTCTGCCGCACATACTCAGAACGCCGAAGCACACCAGAATGTTGGGCAGCTTGCAGTTGTTGGCTGGTGAGTATATCCCAAATAGCCCAACCACGCGATATTGTAATCGCGCAAAAAGGTTCGCTCGAGAGTCGTTGCCCTAATCAAGGGGTGAGAAACGTCTTTTCCACCGAGGACCACACGATCCCCACCATCGGTTGGACCCTTCTCCCAAATACTTATCGCGGTCAGTTTACTGCGTGGGGCTGTCGAGCCATCAGTTCGTCGCAAGAACAAGATAAAGACGGAAGAGTGAAATATGTAGGTATGGAGGAGATCGTTCTCTTATGGTCCTTCTTAGCAGACAAGTAGGGCACTCGGTTGGTAGAGAAACGACACGCGATTCTCGGGAGGGGACCCTAACATCCCTGTTAATCTTTCTTTTCTGTCGCGCCGTGTCTCTTGTCTCTGTTACTCCACGATAACGGCGGACGGTGGTGGGGAATGGCTGTTGGCTCTAAACAGCCAAGTCTAAACAGCTCTGAAATAGGGGATGGGGTCACATTTAGCCAGCGGTCCGCCAATTCGTCACCCGTGCCCTAATCGAACGTTCCCTCAAGAGCACATCGCGGTGTGAATTCAGCTTTACGGTCGCGGACAGTTTGAATCACGACTGGTTCTCAACTTACGAACGCTACGATACACCGGTGCGCGCGAAATTCTTACTTACATCTTTCGTAATTTGGTCGGATCTGTTTGTCCGGCGACGAGGAGATCGATCGAAAAGTCCGGTCTAAACGGACCTGCGACTGATACTTCGTGCAATAGAGAGCAACGTGACGCGAGTTACAAGCAAGTCGCTACAAACTTTACAATCGCTATTCGCGATGAACTCCGCAACGAGGTTCGTAACAATTTATGTAGCGAGGTTCATAATAACTTCGATGACAAGTTCTGGAGTGGGCGATGTATTACAGACTTCTAAATAAGTTTCACGGCGAGGTGGACGATCGATTCTACGACAGATTTCGTAATTTCTGTAACGTACAGTGTCGTAACGACGGGGGTCGTGTTGCGGTAACAGCTTGCGAAGTACGGCCTAGAGAGGTACGGCCAGAAACGAGTGAAAATAAAATTTCGTGCTAACCGCGCGCGCGTGTACCATCGGCTTTGAAATTTAAGCACCTTCTAGACTTTGCCCATTCTCCGAGCATGGTTTAATCCCGCGGTATTACCTCGCCGGAGCAGTATCGTTTCGGAGCTCGGGAATATATTTTTTGTTTCAAGGGAAGCGAAGCAATCGTGACTCGATACGGGCGAAGATCCGCGGCGACCTCGAAACGTTCGAGAAATACGAGGCCGGACGAAAACGTTAATAGGAATGTTGCCTTACTGTTTCCAAAGTAACGGAGAGACGCGCTGCCGCACCGTATCCCGGGACACGCAGCTAGACAGCAAACAGTCCACCAGGAAAATGGATATTACTCGAATATCATTCTTCTTTCGTACGTAGAGTATAGACACGATCCATTTTCTCGTTCGTTGTTGGTCGCTGGTAGCTCCCCTCGCTTTCCCGTCGCTCCAGGCTTATCGCTTTTAAAACGGCTATTTACTCGACAAATTCACGAACCACCGCACATCGAATATAATTTATTTGTTAGTTCGGTAAACGTAATAACGTCCCGTTAATGGAAATGCTTCGTTCTGAAATACCTACATTCGTGCGTTGTTACAATTGCTATAACTCGCGATCGTTTCGGAACAGTGAAACGCGTCGCGAAGGGAAAATTTATTTCGTCGTTGCTGCTAGTCGGCGTTAGTGTACGGTTCCAGTGGAAACATTTCCCAACGAACTAACACTTTCCGAAGAATACGTTGGAAAAATCGGATAAATTAATTTTTGTGGGAATGATTACACTGTATGTACTCCGTTCTTCAGATGCCCCATGAATTCGTCGGAAAAAAATTTCATCTCCCGAATGATCTCCATGTCCTGTATATGGTAATAACGTGTTTCGATCTACTATCGTTTTAACTTTTTAATCATCGCCTATCACGTATTTCCAAAGAATCTTTCGAAACTATTCGCTGGAACATTACCCAAACGGGGCCCAACAGTGACATGTTTATAACGCTTGTCGTGAAAACGGAGCATGCAAGGAAACGACGAGGTGGAGAGAGAGAAAGAGAGAGAGAGAGAGAGAGAGAGAGAGAGAAGAAGAAGAAGAAGAGAGATGCAGATAGAAGGAGAGACTAGGGACAGAATAGGGGAAATTACGCGGTTACCCGTGGATTCCAGGGTCGATCAGTTGGGTTTGCGTAAACCGAAACGAGGATCGGATCACCGGCTCGATTGCCAAAGGGGTATCGGAGATGCGAAGAATGTCCGGAATTTCAGCGATTCGGCGAGGATAGAAAGACGCGGGACTCGACCCGCTAATAACGACCGTGTCGTAATTTTCTCGTTACAGCAGTGATGATATGCGGTGGCCTGGTGATGTATCCCATAGGATGGGACAACAGAGAGGTACGGGAATCTTGCGGGAAGGGCGCTAACGTGTACAATCTCGGTGAGTATCAAACGCGCCAGCGTTCTCCGTCGAGTTGTTTTCCCGGAAATGCTTGGGATGCATCTCGGCGAACGGGAAAACAAATATTATCGATCACGGTACTACCTGTATATGAATAGTTAACGACGACACGGACATTTTTCACTGCGAGATACGAAGGTCGTCGTACGCGATTCACTGCCGCGATCGCGTTTGTCGATGTTGAACGAGAGTATTCTCGAGACTAACAAAGCATGGAATGTGTCGGGTCAACGGATCGACCGTCTTTTCAACGAACAATCTTACCGTTTGCATCAGGTGGGCGTTGTTCCTTCGCGGATTCGTGCTAGGGAAAATCGTACCGGGATTTTCTTTATATTCCGGCGTTTTCGATATCTATGTACCGTGATATCCCCCGGATTCGCAAATTTCTTCGGTCGAGTCGAAGAAGCGCGTCGCGAAACGATTCGTTGACGGACGCGTCGCATCTGTTTCAGGAAAGTGTTCGGTGTCCTGGTCGAGCCACCTGCTGGTGGGCTCCGTGGCGTTGCTGATGCTGTGCTTCGGGCTGAGTTTCTGTGCCGCGCGACACAAACCATCCAACCCGCACACCGACCCTCTGCGCATTTGACAATCGAGATACTCGCAATCGATTCACGCGTACGCCTCGCCGAAAACGACCACTCTGTCGTTCGTGACCGTTTGCTGATCCTGGCGATCGTGGATCGAGACGAGCAGCGTCGCCGTTGGGTGGCGAAATCGCGAAGTCGTGAAATCGTGAAATCGTGAAATCGTGAAATCGTAAAATCGCGAGGGGTTGCGTCCACGTGATTGACCGCACGGTACACGGCTCCCGTTCCTGTTCGTCGTTACTATCTACTAAATAGATGAACGTTTACATGTGTAGCGTAACGCAGAGATCGAACGGAAGATTTCTTCGAAATGTTCTTTTGAAATTCACGAATATCGATGTATCGTCGTGACACGGAGAGGAGCGAGTGCTCGTTCGTACAAGCCAACAAATTCCCGCCGTGTGTGGTTTTTCGCCACGGCACGTGTCACCGTTCCACGAGCTGTTCCGCCGTCTCCTTCACACGGAAATTTCTAACTCCCGTTACAGACCTAAACAAACAACGCAACACCGTCTTCGCGCTTTTCGATCGCTTGCCACGCGATGAAATCCTTAATCGTAAAACGAGAAAACAGGCATGCAGTTTCAATCGTTCGACGTTTCTACGTTATCGTGAATTCTTTTTACTCGATGCAAAGATTCGCGATTGAAATTCGAGCAAATCCCGATCGGATCGACTGCGATTCCCTAATCGACAACGAAACGGAAAGGAAACGTCGTTCGTAACTCGTACCACAGACGAGATATAAGAATAGACCTAACATCTTCCGGGAGTTGGTGTTCCATGAAAATCATGCCGGTTCGAACGCACCTCTACATAAAAGTTTCCGATTTCAGGAACTACGTTCGACACCGTGATAACGCACAGGAAGGAATGGAAAACTGAAATGGCACGGGGGCTTCTGACGCCCCCGAAGTATGGAACGGAAAATTACATTGCATGTTAGGTCTATTCGTGTATCTCGTCTATGCCCGCACACGCGAATTGTCTTGCGTTACGAGTTATGTACCCGACTTCGTAGCGAGGGTAGATTCGATTAGGAAAAAGATCAAATGCGCGTGTTTCATGCGTGAAAGAGTGCCAATGACCCCCCAACACGGGTCCGGAAATTGGACAGACCAAGACGAACTGTCATGATTTAAATGGGTTATGTTGGACCACGCGATTTTTCATTCTGAAAAATTGAGCACGCAGCTATGAAACGCGATCGGTATCGTTTGGACAGTGAGTTTTCTGTTTCTTCGCTCGACTCGACCCAGCAGATCGTGAGAATCGAACACGTGGTAGAGTGTACAGGCACGTTTCGTAAATACAGATAGCCGTGACCAGACTCGGAACACGGAAAAGGTATTCGAACACGGTCCTGGACGGGAATGAACGCGATCGAACTCGATACGATAGATAGGTAGAGATTAAAAGAAAATGAAAAGGAGAGACGGAGAGAGAGAGAGAGAGAGAGAACGAGGTTTCGTTATTTCGGGTGCATCGCTTTGCCTGCCAAATATTCCCATGCATTCCACGTTTCGAGCGACGCGACAAGATCCTGGCATCTTTTCCGGTGTCGACCCATAGTTTCCCTTTGTTTCACGGTGGGGCACTCATTGCTCCGCATTTTCCCGCACTCGACTCATCCTTAGAATCGTGTGCACGGAAATGTTATAACGTAATCTCGTTCAGCGAATCCAACGTTTGGATCCGATGTTTGTCGGGAACCCCGTAGAAAGCGAAGGAGCAGTCGAGCGATAGGAAACCGAACTACGCGGTGTTCTTGCTTCGCATTTTACAACGCCGCGGCGAGACGCTTCGAATAGTTTCAGCAAGAAATGCCCGCTTTGAATTTACTGTTCGTTCAGAAAATCAAACCTCCGGACTTTCCCGCGGTAAAGACCAAATCTGGCATTCCGTTTCGCAATTTTACCTGTAACTCAGACCCCTTCCGTTTCTTGGGAAGCCAATTGTTACACTCGACGCTTGCCCAAAAGTGCAAACTTCGAAATTGCACGTACCAAGTATTTCGACGGTAGATTTTCCCAAGCATTTCGTCTGTGCAATGCGCGTTCGCGTATAATAATTACGCGTTTGTCCCTTTCGCTCTTCGTTCATCGGTGAATACTAATTAAACGATTGCTCGCAGATAAAGTTAGACACGCGAGTCGGGTTCGAATAATAGCGCGGAATAGCTGGGTACGTCGACTCTCGTGATTGATTTTCGAACGTGGAACGAGAACACGATCCGCGAAGGCATATCCGCATTGTCCGGGTAAACTCCGCGCGCGTTGTTCGAGCAATCGAGAGGGCCGAGAAGTTCGTTCTAGTTGCACGCACCAACGATACTTCGGGAATGCTTATTCGGTCGATCCGATTTCAACCCGTCGCGTCGCTTCGCATCGCCGATAGTTACGTACACGCGATATCGAATTCGTTGTATGGTTTTGTCGATGGACGACCGAGAAAAGAACGTTGCGACCAGGGCGAAATAAAAGTTGGCCAAGGTGGAAAACGAAAAGTTTCGTCGCTGAAAGCATTGTAAAAATCACTAAAAACCGCGATACCGATTTCATGTTTTGTGTTCAACTCGTACCAAGTAGTCTATTTCAAAATTCGTCGATCTTTTACTTCTTATGGAAGAACAATCAAGTTTTCCGCGAGGAACGCTGGGTACGGTATTTTAAAGGGTTGTGCGCAATTCGAGCAATCGTTTAATCTTTCCGCGACTGCGAACTCCTATATGAAATATAAAATACATGACGAAACGTTCACCGTATGTAGACTAAGGGCTCATATACATACCATACATACCAGTGTGTGCTGTAAACGTGTTGTATGTCGTGACTTTTCACTCTGGCGTCACATTGTTATCGAAATCGAGAAACTGTCAACATCTTGGTAGTTTTTTCAATGGAAAATTAAAATAGTTTAATATACGATCGAAAGTGGAAAGATGTTTAGTCTAACGCGTTTTCTATTGCGGGAAGTGGATAGTTATTCGGAAAAGTACATACTATACAGGGTTGAAAGGATTGAAGTAACAGTGGTTTGACTACGATATCGGTCTCGAAAACCGTGATATCGAGTTCCGAATACAATTCGAATCATGAGCGAGTTGCGTCCGTTTCTTCGGACTCGATCCGATGCGAATGGAATCGATTTCGTGTTTTTTGTCCCCGGCGTGGTGTACGACTAAATGGCACTCGCAGCGAAAGTTGTGACGGTCGACTTCCTGTACTTTCATTTCATAGTCTTTCACAGCTTTCCGTTTCTGGTGCTCGTAAGTTTCTTTTATCCATTGTTCTCCGTTGTCTCTTTCAACGTTTCTCCGCGTTCCAGGAAAGTATTCCCGGGTCATCTCCGATGATCATTTCCACCGATGTCGAACAGCGGCGACTGTATCGCACACGTCGGAAAACCAGAGATTCGCGGCGATATTCGGACGTGAATTAGGTACCTACATGTTCTTTCCGGTAGGTATTCGTGGTTTTTCGGTTTCTCCTGTCGGAGATGGCAGTGCCACGATCGAGTCCTAGTCGATTTCGGCGGTGCAGACCTGTTGCGGGAATATGTTTTAACCTACCCAGAAGTCTGTTCGAGGAATTGGCAGGAAACTCGACGAGACGGGGTCGAATTGTCTGCCGTATTTGGCATTCTTGTTGGTTATACCTAATTTCCGACGTGGAATTTCTGGTATGTATAATACGTATTTGTGTTGGCATCGGTTCCCGGTAGAGACGACGATTCGCAGTTTCGTCGGGCAGTTTGTGAATCTCGTTCGCTCGAGCGATCGAAGCGCGACACGTTTTACGGCTTCGACAGTTTCGAGAGACGTTTGCATGAACCGACAACGAGGAAGAATCGTAAGCAGAAATCGCGTTGAATGCGTCCTAATGATTCGCGTCGCAATTACAAGCTGGCCCCCCGTGGCCGAGGTTTGGCACGGCTCGATGAAAGATGCCGTCGGGGGTTGAAAAGGAAACGACATCTAATTAGAATGTTCGCTGTGAAGCGCGCAACATTTGTCGTGCGCCTGACAGGAAAACGGCTATTCCCTTTTCGACGACGACGACGACGACGACGACGACGACGACGACGACGACGACGACGACGACGATTTGGAATCGAACGAACGCGAAATCGCGATTGGCTCTGCTCGACCGTTCGTTTCCGTAAACTTTGCTTTCGTCCCAGTATTCGATGCTCCGAGAGACCGATGAATTTCTAACCATCCACGACCCTTTGTTCCCTATTTGCATGGAAATTGCTGTTCTCTCGGCGACGCGACGAAAAAAAGAAAAAAATAGCGAACGCTGCCTCGAAAGCGTTGTCCGGATGCATCGTTGAAGGCAAAGTTTAGTAAATTACCTTCCGTCTGTATTGCACGCCGTTGCACCGTGTAATCGACCGGCGCGACGTTATACGCGGGCGTAAACACGACGGATCGGAATAGCGGCTACCAATCGGAGACAGAATTCGGAGACCGTTCACGAAAACATGATCGCGACATCGAACGCATCGTCGAACCGTCGATTGCGAGAAAGGATTCGAGGTGGTCCCGGTGGTGGATCGTTGCTGCGGTTCGTTCGTATCGATTACGCTGCGTTGCGCGTCGCGTTGACCGATACACTCGTTATTGCGCGGCCAGAGAAAATAGTATCCGTGTAAATAATAATGACGGGCGCACGATCGGATCGCGGGAATAAATTTTATTTGACTCCGCGCGAGGCCTGTTTAATTGTATCGCGTCGATGCAGCGAAATCCGACAATATTTTTTCAATGAAAATCAACCCTGTCGACGCGTCGAGTTTACTAATTATTACCTGCCTCCCGTTTATTCCCCGTCCTCTGAACGCCATTCGATGCAAAAGTAGCTGAATTTTTTTACAGTGTCGCTGTGTTTCACCGTTTGCGTTCGAAAAATGTGAAAAAGCGTTCCTTCGGAGCAGGATTTCGCATGCGTGATGATCGACCGATCATCGGGTTACGCGTAACTTTGGGAAAGCTCCT